AGATACATTTGGCGGCTGTTAGGAATCCATCCCCACACCAATGTCAACACAAAACCCACACCACACCACCCTCTACCAGCAACCACCAAGTAAAATTACCTATGCCAATTTGCTTACATTACATGAAGCAATTTGCAATTTATTTTCTGTTACTGTCAAAATAAAAATATTTTTGACATTTGACATTTAAGATGTGCTGAAAACCTACCAATGTCATAGACTATAGAGTGCGGATTGTAATACTAAAACGTAAACATTGGAACTTTTCTTATTTTCAAATGCTTGATTTTTATATATTATACTCAGGGGTCTACAACAATACCCCCTGCAAGAAGGCAGACGTTTCTGAAGGGACAAACGGCATTCCAGACACTTTTAGTTACGCGCGGCTCGTAACACTAAAACGTAAATATTGGAACTTTTCTTACTTTCAAATGCTTGATTTTTATATATCATAATCCGGGGACTATAAAAATACCCCCTGCAAGAAGGCAGACATTTCTAATGGGGCAAACGACCTCCTAGACACTTTCAGTGTCTGCGCGGTTTGTAAGACTAAAACGTGAAAGTAAGCGGGACTTTACTTAAGTTCAAAAACTTAATTTTTAAACATTGTGCTCGGGAGATTATTAGAAAACCGCCTAGGCGGTTGAAGGCGCGACTTCAAGCTGCCAGACACTTTAGACTAGTCAAACAAACTCTCAGAAACTTTAATTGTAAATACCTTATAAAGTTTCTGGGAGTTTTTTTATTCTAACCAGACTGTCTATCTCCTTGCAGGAGATGTAATTAAAGTCTCTCGAGTATCATATATAAAAATCAAGCACTTGAAATTAAGTAAAGTTTCACTACATACCTTCTAGCAATACGAGCCGCGCGGTATATAAACTGTCTGGGAGGTCGTTTGCCTCATCAGAAATGTCTGCCTTCTTGCAGGGGGTATTGTTATAGTCCCCGGAGTATAATATATAAAAATCAAGCATTAGAAAATGAAAATAAAATGTAGTCAAATTTTTGGCAACTTTAAATCCATATAATTGGTTTGTCCGCGGGTGCAGTGTTACAATATTACATATGTAGTGTCGTAGAGGATTGTAGCATAATTGTATTTTTTTTTTGTATAAAATTATATATAATACGTTCATACATAATATACTGTATTAAATAAAATATTATAATCATAGGCTATTATCAAAAAGATGGCTTTCCAAACGTTTAACAAATAGTTTAAATTTTAAATTTAGATTTGCTATTTCAGGTGGTAAGTTATTGAGCATGTATGGTAAATATGTTGGTGGATAAAAAGACACGATATAATAGTTTATATTTTATTGATATCATAAAATCATAACTTAAATATAAAACAAATTATAAAACAAATATTTGCACAAAAGGAAATAATTTTTAATTTCTATTATTTTTTTTAATATAATATCTAGATAACTACGACTGACGTATTTATACACGTTTGCACATTTACATAGATTACAAGGCCATCATTAAAACCTAGGACACTACCTGAATATTAAACTTGAAGTGAATAAAATTCTGTGATGATAAAATTTAACATTACAATGCAGTAGTTCTAACTCTAAATATAGTAAGCCTGAATAAATCTTAAAACCGTCAATTTCTTTAAATTACTTTAACAAATGAACATATATTTATTCTGATTAAAAACTGGCCTCTACCAGACCTGGTAATTAAATGGTGCTTTGATACAAGAACGTAGTTATATTATTATGTCCATAACAACTGTGCTCGTCTTTATAAACCTAAAACAGTAGCATTAAATAACTTTCTCATATTGGTATGCTCTGAACGGGATCTGTCATATTTAGTGGTTATTACGTTAAACAAATGGTCCATACAGCTGTATTTTGGCTTTATCTTCAACTTATCACATTTCTAAAAGTTTCTTATTTTATTGAGTACATATCACGTAAACATTCTCAATTATCCAAATAACTATTACGATCCCAGTCATTGATATAAATATATTATCTCTCCATATTAACTAAAAGCTTTTTGTTCAGTCAAAACTAATTAACTCTGCAGTGTTGTTGTTATGCTCGGATTTGTTTGAGGTTTGCGCCTGCTGATTAGGATTTTGTTGTTGGGGTTGTGGACCATTGGTAAAGTTTTGTTGTTGCATCTTCATAGGTTGACCTTGAAAATTTTGGGGAATTTGTTGACCTTGTGGTAGTTGCCCTTGAGGTGGCATTTGTTGACCTTGAGATGGCATCTGTTGCCCTTGAGCTGCCATTTGTTGTCCTTGGGATGGCATCTGTTGCCCTTGAGCAGCCATTTGTTGTCCTTGAGATGACATCTGCTGGCCTTGAGGTGACATCTGTTGTCCCTGTGGAAGCATTTGTTGTCCCTGTGGTAGCATTTGTTGCCCTTGATTGGGCATCTGCTGTCCCTGAGGCATCTGTTGACCTTGTGATTGTATTTGTTGGCCAGGGATTTGCCCCATCTGTGGTTGCATTTGCATTTGCTGGGGTAAATTATTGGGCATCATTTGTTGATTCATTTGATGCGCCTGCATCATTTGCTGACCCTGTACTTGTTGCATTTGGTTTTGTGGCATCTGTTGCCCCTGACTTAAGCTATGTTGGTTTTGTTGTGGAATGTTCAACTGCTGTCCTTGCATCATCATCTGCTGGCCGGGTTGACCTTGCATAGATATATGACCTTGGGTGTATTGGCTTTGTTGAGGTTGCGGTATCTGAGTAGCACCTTGGGTCACTTGTGGTACGGTAGGGAGTACATTTTGGTTTTGGCTGATAGCCGCTTGGCTCTGCGCTAAAGCCTGCCCTTGCATCATTTGACTCGACATGGGCATTTGCGACG